ATAACATAGAGCATTATAATATTTAGCGGCATGCGTAAATATTTAAATCATGTCGAGTTTCCACGACCACGAAGTACATAAAACCACATTTGTATAAACTGTGATAAAACACATGTTCGTGAGCGTATTTGAAATTTAACGTTCTCTGTGGAAGCATGTAATTTGATACTTTACCACTCCCCCTTGGGCAATCAATTTTTGCAGAGTCACGTGACCAGCCGATACCAGGGTCTTTCCCAAAAAGACCCTGGGTACGAGGATGAGTAAACAGTGGCTCCAGCTAAAAAACTCTGACTGGGCATATTTTTACGCGAGGAGTGGGAATGCATTATTTGTTGCAATTCAATTTATAATAAATTTGGACACTGGTCAGACTTTGTCGAAGGGGGCCATATATTCCCCCCCCCCCCGCCTCTGGCTATGTCATTGCAATTGAGCCTTTTAGACATCTACACTTTAGTTGCAACTTAGAACAGTTTTTAACATACAGAGTGTGATATACAGTTGTGTTTGTAAGAACATTAAAATTTGTGCAAAAGCATTTCTCAACTATTACTGTGTATTTGTTCAAATCTAATCAAGCTGTCGGTCCTTGGACATTAGGTGGGGATATTTTGGTGAAAGAAAAATTGTGACAATCAGGTTGGGGGCCCACCAGTAGGCCTGGCTGATTTTTGGATTCAAGTCATCTGAGGAGTGCTGCTACCAATTTGCACATCATAGGGTCTGCAGCCCTGTCAGCTCCTACAATTTGAAAAGGATTCTTGCCCTCGAAAACAACAGTAAATATCCTATGTTTAACCACTGGTTTAATTCTTGTTATTAATCTGAAACAAAAATTCCTGTCATTTTGGAGAACATGTGTATGAAGAAAGCCATGCATATGAAGTCTAGCTGAAATAAAAACAATATTTTCTGAGAAATAATAGCCTGGTTAGTAGCTCATTGGAAACGTATGTGAATTGCAATGATGTTTACAAGAAAGTTATATATAAAAATACAACAAATTACAAATGCGCCGGAATTTAAAATGGTAAAATTGTCTTAGTTTATAAAATCAGAGAGAGATTGGAACTGTTTCGAAGATTTACTGTGACACATTGTTCACGAGTGGGGGGCAATAGATGATGGAGCAGCGAATCTGGTTTATTAATTTTTGTTAATACTTTCTGACAGATTTCAAGGCGTCTTTCGTCCAGTCGGCTGAAGTTGGCTGCAATCAACGCTTCTCTGTAATTGATAATCAGGGAATATTATACGCATTGCGCGTAATTTTTGTATCATTTCTATTTTGGTACAGAGATATTCAGGGATACTATTGCACCACAAAACACAACAATATTCCAGAGTAGACCGTACAAAAGTGAAGAATATATGCAGGTCAGATCATTGCTTGACACACCAGTTTTTTAAGCACTGTGATTGTATATAAACGTTTTGATGCTTTGCTAATTATTTCGTTGGTGCTTTTATTCCACTTCAAATGGTCCATTATGGTCATGCCAAGTACTTTGTGAGATACTACATTATCACTTAGCAACAGGGGTGCTAAATCAGGCGTATGCTTTAGTGGCCAAACCACCATCTCTTTGCATTTCTTGGGGTTGAGATTCATGTTCTTATCTTTCGCCCATGCCGAAATAGTATCGAGGTCGGCTTGTAAAACCGAAATTGATTCAGTCTTAACTACTTGATCTGCTATAAGTGGGGATTTAACTGCGAGATCGTTAATCATTATAGCAAACAAAATCGGTCCAAGTTTTGTTCCCTGCTGAATGCCAGCACGGCAAAGTTCCCAGTCCGAAATGAGAGAATTGAGCTTATTAACAGCTTGGCGTCGGTCACTAATAAAACTACAAAGTCAAGCAATTAATGATCTCCTCACACCAAGATCGATCAATTTCTTCACTAAATTAAACGTTATGATAAATTCAATTCAATTCAATTAAATTCAAAAGTCTTTTTATTATGTTACAAGTAAATATTAAGAATACATTAGTAAAGTTTAGATCATATGAATAGGTTATAGTTAAAAATTAATCTATTTGCAAACGACAATTTAAAACGTTCCGTGTTCACTCTTGGGTACTGACTAAACTCTGTCCTCAAAGAGTAGCTTGTGGATTTCATTCTTGGTATCAAGTCGACTATGGCACTCTTCTGATTTACAGAAGCTTTAAAAATATTTATGTCCTTTATTTCTAAAAGATATCTAATATTTACAGGTTCTGATATATATATACTTTCGCTTAAAACATCTGTCAAAAAACCGTTGTAGAGTACTGAGTTTGGCTGGAGAAGAACCGGACGGACAGGCCAAACGTTATAGTATATATTACTAGGGTCTTAATTAGGTAATCTATCTCACATTGGCTATAGCCTCCTGCCCCGAGTGGCGAGTGTCCGTATAACGTACAAGCATTTGTTTGCTTTGACCAATTTACCTCGCACATGACTGGTGAACTTGAGATTGTCTTGAAAAGTACTAGATAAAATGGGAAGTTCTTTGCATTGGGTTATATTATAAACATTGTCGAGTTGATCATTATATCCCTTCTTGCGGATGATAAGCTCTTTACATTTACCAGGGTTACAAGTCATAAAATTATCGTCAGACCAGCCCAGGGGCCGGTTGTGTCAAAGGCGTTTAACTCGCTAACCACCGTTTAACTCGCTATCCGCCGGATAAAATTTAAACGCTCGAGAAATCGCGTTGTATCAAGCCCGTTTAGGGCTATCCACCGGTTAAATTCTGCCTATCCACCGTGTAAACTTATACGGTCTCTTGAGACCGTTTAAATCGCTATACGGCGGATAAACTCAGAGTTTGAAGATAAAACAATGATTATTTCGGATGAAAAAGCATGGGATAGTTATAAAAATGCACAATCATGTGGAGGAGTTATCTTTTTAAATCCAATAAACATGAAAAACTCACTTTTAACTGGCTTGGTCTTGAGGTACAGTGAGGTCACTTGCTCACTTGTAATTCCGTGGCTTTGCTATATTTACGCACACCAGTGTCATGTTTAGATGTTAAGGATATATACTCTGGCTTTTTCTCCTTCTTTTCTTCTATTATATAGTTTGAAAACAAGCAATAAGTCTCCCAATTTTAGCTATTGTAAAACAAACAATGACTTTGGAAAGCCAACAAGTATACAAAATAGACAACAAGACGCCGAAAGTCGAAAAAAAATTGTTCGCTCGCGTTAATCGCTTTGATCAGCCAATCAAAACTTGGGACAAAATGTTCTTAAAATTGTTTTGAACAAAAGTGCAAGGTCGAGGAACAAATTTCAAACAGTATAAAACTGAATCAACTGACAAAAGCCAAATACAACTCACAGTTTTTGCTATTGCCTTCGACTCTTCGCATAAAGAAGCGAAAAATCTTTAAAGAAATATCCGTAAGTGAATTTAAGTGAATGAGAAACTCAGCACAATGTGAAAATGAAAAGTTTGATATAGATTTGCAGCAACGAATGGACGAGCAAACTCCAAATAAAAACAACAACAAACTTCATTGCAAAAGCTTAGTGGAATTCACAAGTTAGATAAAGCTTCAAAAGTTTACAAAAGCCTAGCAACAGCTGACGTAGAGGTAAGAAATTTCAAGAAAATCCGGTTTTCTCCGGTTAAATTAAAGGTTATCCTACGGATAGTTAAACGCGGTACTAAACGGGCTTCGTACAACGCAATTTTATCGGCCGTTTAACTATCCGCTGGATAAGAAATTTATACGCTGGATAGCGGCTAAACACCGTTTAAGTTAAACGCCTTTGATACAACCGGCCCCAGGAATTGTCCAACTGTATCTGTTGATGTATCAGGATCGTCACTCCGAACTGGCACTATTATATTTGAATCGTCCGCATATTTATAAAGAGCGTTCTCGCCGTCTATGTCCACCTTTAAATCATTTAGGAAAATATTAAAAAGGTAGGGGCCACTTACGCTCCCCTGTGTTGTATCCTTATTAACATCCATCCATTCTCAACAAAAATCGTTACAAATGAATCTTTGCTTTCTATTCTTTAGAAAATTTAAATATCAATTTATGATATAAGGGATGAGTGGCACATTTTTTAACTTTTCCGAGAGGAGTGAATGTTTCACGGAGTCGAAAGCCTTGCTAAAATCCATAGAAAACAGTCTAACTGCTTTGCAGTCCGCTTAATCTAAGAACTGAGTACTTTGTTCTGAATAGTCAACAGAGCGTTTGTACAACTTTCCCCCTGCCTGTACGCAAATTGCGTTGGGGATAAAATTTCCTCAGTCGACTTGACCTGACTATTATAAACGAGCTTTTCGAAGGTCCTCGCAATTACAGGTGTAATATTTATTCCACGAGAGTCACCATCTTCCTTTGGTAAATCAACCTTTGCAAGAGAGTTAATATTCGCTCTTTTCCATGAATCTGACGAAGTATGTGATGAACGGGACAAATTCCAGACGTTAGTTATAACTTCGGTTAGAATTTCAGCATGATCATTCCAAACCCTATAGGGAATATAATCGGGACCTGTTGCTGTCCTCTTTATTCTTTTCAAGGCATTCCATACCTGCTTTTCCGTAAAGCTAGGAATATCGACTTCATCACCAATAATCGAGAGCGTCGGTTCGACATAACTAGCATTGTGGTAGAGTTCGCCAAAGAGCGATTTAATCTTGTAAGTGATGCATTATCTAAAGTAACTCTCGATGACGATGCATTTCGCTGAGAAATGTCATTCGTCTTTCTCCACCAAGTTCTACTTCCCACCAAGGCCCTAAAATTTCTTCTGTTTAGGCAAGTGACATCAGAAATCCTTTTGTTAATTAAACTGAGTCTATCCTTTTGTGACCGAGCAATTCTGGATTCAGCTTTTAGCAAAGATTTAATTAAAGTACTCATCCAGTAAGGGTCACGTGACGAAATGAGAGACTGTTTTTGTGGGCATACATTTATTCATATGATCCATTATCTTACGTTCAAGACAATTCACAGCGTCATTTACATTCGTGGACTGCGATACATCCTCCCAATCTTCTTTTGCTAAAGCTTTGTGGAAATCTTTCTTTCGATGCTTTCTACAATCCGGAAATTCAACCTTTCGGCGAATAGGTTTTAGTTTCGTTCCTGCTGGTAAAATAACCCCTATGTGGTCTGTTTTAGTTAGCATATGGAAAGGATGACATTTTGAGAACAAATCTATTCTATTTGTAAGCCAGTTATCCAAACATGCGTTACCCCTTGTTGAAAAGTCGACCATTGCATCCCATCCTGATAGCTCCTTAAGGTGTTTTATGTTGATGACAGGTGTGATTGCCGAAAGTATGTACACTTTTCTGGAGATGAATGATGTACTACCGAATGAACAAAAAGGATGTAGAAGAAAGACTAGAGGAACAAAAGACCAATTGTTAATTGATAAGTTAGTTTTAAGAGATTGTAAAAGAAGGCATACAAATTTATCGATGGCCTGGATAGACTATCGCAAGGCATATGATATGGTACCTCATTCTTGGGTAGTGGAATGTATGAGTATGTTCAAAATCGCAGTAAATGTGAGAACGTTTGTGGAAAGTAGTATGAAGAACTGGAAAACGGAGTTAACATCTTCGGGAGAAAGTCTTAGAAATGCGAATTTAAGACGAGGTATTTTTCAAGGAGATAGCTTCATACTGAGAAAGGAAAAGGTAGGGTATGAATTTCGCGGAAAAGAACTCAAAATCAACCATCTTCTATTCATGGATGATCTGAAGTTGTTTGGAAAGAACAAGGAGCAAATAGACTCACTGGTGAAAACTGTCCATATTGTTAGCAAAGACATTGGAATGGAATTTGGGATAATGAAATGTGGAATGCTTGTAATGAAAAGAGGAAAGATTGTGGAATGTAATGGAATACAGCTACCTGATGAGGAAACAATAAAGTCCGTAGAAGAAGATGGATATAAATATCTTGGTATACTGGAATTAGATAAAATTATGGAGGGTGAAATGAAGAGAAAGTTTGTAAAGGAATACAGGAGGAGATTAAGACTGGTGCTGAAATCAAAACTGAATGCTCAGGCATGTTAATGCCTGGGTCTGCCCACGCTTGGATGATATGTTGCGCGTGTGTTGCACGCGCGATCTGTCAGTAATGCGTCTGTTAGAATATTCGCCCCTTGTGAGTATTTTAGTGAATTCGGGCGTTTGCTTCAAATCAAAATATAGTATATATGAGCGACAGGATTATTTTGGAATATACAATGCAAAGAAGTCGGTATACTATTCAGTTTTGATGTAATAATTGGCACTTTGTATAGCAATAAGTATTGTATCATTTGCGACAGCTGACCTTTGAATTGCTGATAAATAAAAGCTTCTTATAGTGCGCTATCTTGCGATTATTCAGTATTAATTGTTGACTGTTTCTTATTTTCAATGAAAAATTGCTTGTGAATTACAAATTAATAGCACATATAGTTCACTCGGTCTTTTCCACCATGGCATACTTCCTTCAAGCATTAACTATGCTTCAAGATATCGGTTTGAATGCGCAATGAATGTTGTTATTGGAAATTTAATATCCTTACAATAAGCGGCAGACTGTTTCATTATGGCGCGTGAAATTCATCACCCGAAAAACGCGTTCGACTTGCAGCAGGGTAATTTGACGAAATTTTGCTATGTTTGTTAGCTTAAAACATTAACAAGGGAACAAAGTTTCCTGCGTTAATTTGGAAACCGTACATTTATTTGTAGATAACATTTAATGAAGTGATTAACATTCGTTTGATGCCGATCATCGTAATATAGCCGCATAAAATAATGAAACGAAGCCTAAATGTAAACTTTCCGAATTTATTCAATAAACAGTGATATTATGTGTGAATGATTATCGCAATTCTGCTTCCTCCCAGTCACGAAATATACTGCTGCAGAGCCTCTGAATAAAAAGTATCATTTTTTGTGTTGTTTTTCGAAATATACATCACGTGATCGTTGCCATGACAACGAAAAGTAGGTCAACTTTTAGAAACTCCTTTGATAAATCATATAAAACTTGAATGGTAATAATCAAGGCCATACTTATTTTTTTATGATTTTTTGTTTATTTTCGCTAAATACACAAACTGAGACCCAGGCATTAATGTACCTGAGTGGCAGAAACAAAATCATGGCGATGAATACTTGGGCTGTTACAACAGCAGAACCACTATTTGTGGCTCGATCGAAGAAGTATTTTCCGGATTTGACGCGTTTACGCACATATAATAAATGTATTTAGCTAAGAAATGTGCATAAATTTGCCTGATGGCAGGGTAAGAGACTGGGAAGAGCATAATTAATTTGAAAACAAATATGGCGGAGACGAAACGCAATGTATGAAAATTTTATCGTAGTTGTGCTGATAAAAATGGCCTCTTGTAGCATGTGTGGATGAATAAAATGGCTAAGTTTAGAGGATTTTGGAAGTAGTTTCCTGCGGAATTTAGATACTTTTGTTGGCTAATATATAAACTTTGAATGTTATTGAAACAATTCCGATGCCAAGCTCAAGATTTCGCTGGATATATTTCCGTACACCAGGCTGCGTTTGTGGCGTGTATTGTCAGATTCACATGCAATATAAGGAGTTATTATGCTGGTGAACGTGATATCAATAGTGATCTCGGGAAGTGAGTGTATTTTATTCCAGAAATAGTTGTTAGAATTAAAAGATTCCTGAATCAGCATAGCATGTGAAACGATGCCAAGTAAGCGTGATTTGCGGCTCATTCATGCGATATTTGAGAAAGTTCTTATATGCCTATACTAATCCCAGCATTATCGGACCCCATTTTGTTGCGTAATTTTTTGTCATGTCCACCATCTTGACCCACATTTCTGGTAATGAATTAAAAATTGTATTCACGTAGTTATTAATATTCAGCAAGTTTTAAAGTTTATTCTGAACTTGATAGACTTTATTGAGTTCTTTAACTTTCGGTATAATATATCATTTATAGACTCTCCGCTCGGGGGATTCGGCGATATTTCCCTCAGTGATGATATTTCCTCGGGGCAAAACCCCTCGGAAAATATCATCACTTCGGGAAATATTACGCCGAATCCCCCTCGCTCCGGGTAGAAATGATAAATATACCCGTTGAATACGCATAGTTGTAAACAAGTAAAAACTATCGTTCTATAAGGTTCAAAACTTTCAGTTTGGTTGTTGACTGATGATGAATCTATATAGTATAGACTTTTATGCTTTGTATTTTGAGCTTATTAAACCACCGTTTTAAGGCAGCTAAACGGGTTTGGTTTATATTATTAAACACATAAAATAAATTCCTTGATTCTCATCACTAGACACAGTCTACACTTTGAAATGTCGAAGACAGTGGGAGATTTATTTTTTATATTTTATATTTATATAATTTATATATCAATAGTTCGTATCTCCACGAACAATGACAGAATGACTGAGTCTCTTTAAAATACAATGAAATTTCATTCAAAATTCTGTTTGTTTCAAATTGGAAGTTTAAAATGGCAATAAAAACCCTATATAAAATATAAAAAAATTAACTGTCTTGAATTATTTTGTCGGGCGGTACATTTATATTGTATAACGAAATATAAAACATTTTCACGAGGATTTTAAAATTCAGTCGGGCGGTGATGATGATCGCGGTCAAGGAATTTATTTTATATTGGGCAATTGGGACTTGAGAGCAACTTGGGAGTGGCTAATTTTGAATATTTACTTAATTAATGACATCTATAAATAGCGTTGATGCTTAAGAGGCGGTAGTTCATTTACACCCAGTTTTGCGGCAGGCGGTATTTCCTAAGTACCGCCTGCAGGCTAATCCTACGTCGATAAGCCAGCGCTGGAAAACATGGAAACGTCGTTTCGAGACGTATTTGGTAGCTTTAAACATAAAAGACGACACACAGAAACGAGCTTTATTGTTATATCAAGCGGGAGAAGCAACACAAGAAATCTTTGACACGTTATCAGACACGGGCGAGGATAAGGACTATAAGATCGCCATCGAGAAATTAGACGCGTATTTCGCACCCAAGAAAAATATTGACTATGAAATATTTCAATTCCGCCAGACTAAACAAAATATTGACGAGACTACGGATCAATTTGCGACGAGACTTCGACGATTGGCTTCCCACTTCAGTGGTTTAAAGATTATTTGCAGGAAAGAACTCAAATTGTAAAATATAAACAACATAGGTCAACTGAAATGAATGTTACTACAGGAGTCCCACAGGGTTCAATTCTTGGTCCATTGCTATTTCTTTTATACATCAACGACATCGAAAGCTGTAGTGATATACTTTCGTTCGTATTATATGCAGATGATACGAATTCTTTCTATTCAAATTCGTGCTTGAAAACTTTGTATAATACAATACAAAATGAAATAATAAGGTTGTGAAATGGCTCAATGCCAATAAATTATCAATCAACGCTTCTAAGACAAAGTTTGTAATTTTTAAATAAAAAAATAAGTCTTTACTGAATACAGATAATACAATCAAAATAAATAATGATTTGGTTAAGCAAGTGACGTTTGTAAAGTTTCTACGAGTTATAATTGACGAAGAGTTGACATGGAAGAATCACATTCATTACATTATACAAATAGAAACACTTTAAAATTGATTTAGGCCTACTACGCATTAGCTTATCCATACCTCACGTACGGGAATCTTGTTTGGGGAAATACATATCCCACAAGATTGCAAAAAATAATGAATGTACAAAAGAAAATTGTTCGATTAATTTGTTTTAAATCTTATTCCGATCATTCTGAACCATTATTTTTGGACTTGAAATTCTTGAATGTCTACAAAATTAATGATTATCTATGTAGTATATTTATGTATCGATTCTTTTATTATCAAAATAATTTGCCGGAATTTTATTGTGATTATTTTAAACAAAACAGTGAATTACACAACTATAATACACGTAATTCCACTAAGTTACACGTGAACTTTCAAAGAACTAATTATCGTAAATATACTGTGTTTAACAAAGGCGTCTCTTTATGGAATGGTCTCAATGAAAATTTGAAAAATATCAAATCGTATTTCTCTTTTAAGAAAAAAATAAAATCCTATTACTTACTATCTGCTTAATGCAAATACTGTAAATAAAGTCAACTTTTATCTCCTTATTCTTTTAACTATTTTATGTAAATAATCGTAATATATACTGCCTATATTTGTCAACATTTGTAATAATTGTTACTTGTAATTGATTTTTCAAAACTAGGGACCTTATCTAAAAGTCCAACAGGATTTCCAAAGGTTCCTAGCCCCCATATACTATTGTAAATATTCTAAATTACTTAATTTGTAAATATCTTTTGTGGGCAAACAAATATATACAAAACCTTATATGTATAATAACACTAATAAATCCGACAACAATACATTTTTTGTTTTTATAGAAACTGCACCATTTTTTTAATTTAATTCCTATTTTCTTTTAAAGACGTGCTCTTGGGATATACAACAGTTTTCGTAACCGCTGCAAGTCATTTTTTATGGAGCTTGTTTCGCTGTATTGCTTTGGAGAAGAGTTGCCAAATCCAGATCTAGTTCGAAAATTCATCAGCTACGTGATCAAGGATGAAAATAAAACGGAAGATTTTACACCGTTTGATGGACAAGGAATTGATGTCACGCCTGTTATCAGATCTTATATTTT